AGCGGCGACAGCGGCGCCTGGGCGTGGGACTCAACAATGAACGAGCCTAAGTTCTGGTACCCATCATACACCCTGAGGTGACAATGTTCCAGACATAATTAAGTGTAGTATGAAAACCTGTGTCTCCTATTCCTCGGCTGTTTTACGGCGTCTTCTGGAACATTTTAAAGTCACTCGTGAAGGAAACCCCCGGCATCACCCTCGGACCGACTAAGAGTGGCCCTCAAACCGCCCCGAGGATGCGGGACAAGCCTCCTGTGGGCGGGGCCAGAAGAGCGGCTGGCGGGAAAGCCACCGGGGAGCGCGCGCTGAGGGCGTGGCTAAACCCGGAAGGGGCAGGAACTCGGACTCGCGAGGGCTTCCACAGCCCACTGGGGAGACCGCCTACCTTCGAAGGCGCCAACGCTTTTCCAGAGACGGGGTATTTCCCTTGGCTCCGCCCCAAGCCCCGCCTCTGGCCTATGGGCTAGAGCGGAGACCGGAAGGAGGCAGAGCCTCGGTCACGCTAGAAACAGGCATCCTAGGTCCGCAGCGCCCTCTGTTGACGCTATCAGGAGTTGCATGGAGCTAGTCCTGCCAACTACTTCATACCTAAGGAAAATTAGGCAGAATGCTACCTGAAGACACCAGACTCAAAAGGCTACATACTCTACGTCTCTAACATTTTGCAAAAGCACAACTATAACAGAAATAAACCAGGGCAACAACACAGACTGGGGGGACACTGAGGATGTACTAGCTCCTATTCTGATGGTGTCTACTCCATAAAACAAAAAACAAAGCTCACAACCAACAAGTGTGAGTTTCAGTTAATGCAATTACACTGTTTTGTGTGTTTGTTTTGTTTTTCGAGACAGGGTTTCTCTGTGTAACCCTGGCTGTCCTGGAACACATTTTGTAGACCAGGCTGGCCTCGAACTCAAGAGATTCACCTGCCTCTACCTCCAGAGTGCTGGGATTAAAGGCATGTGCCCCCACTGCCTGGCTTTTTTGTTTTTTGTTGTTTGTTTGGGGTTTTTTGTTGGTGTGTGTGTGTGTGTGTGTGTGTGTGTGTGTGTGTGTGTGACTGTGTAGCCCTGGCCAGCCTTAAAAATTATAGACAGACTATGCTGGCCTTAAATTCAGGGATCCACCCACCTGCCTCCTGAGAGCTGGGATTTGTTTTCAAGTGTGCCCTGGTACTTGTGTGGATGTCAGAGAACAACTTCAGGAGTTAACTTTCTTCTCCCACCATGTAGGTCCTGGGATCAAACCCAGGAAGGCTTCGTAGCAGGCACCTTCACCTACTGATCCATCTCACCAGCGCCCACCGCTTTGGTTTGCATACTGAGATTGGTGGCCACCCGAGATGGGGAAAGTGGGTAACAAAGAGTGACTGCTTTACACAAAGGGGCTCATTTTGAAGTTGTGGAGGTATTTTGGAATTAGATAAGTTTATCAACATTGTGAATAGACTAGGTTCACTTGTGGGTTTGTTTGTTTGTTTTCACAGCAATAGTTCCTTTTAATTATGTGGTGTCCAGCTCTTTAATAATATACAACAAAATAATTGTATTTCAATGTTTTTTAGATTGGATTATGACTGGGATAGCCCTTTCTAATATGGTATTTTCTCTCTCTTTTTTCTTTTTTTTTTCCGTCTGTGATTTCTTCTTACGCTGGCTCTGTTGTTCATGGCTTGCTTATAGAATACTGTGTCCTTCCAGGGCCCTCTGTTTAAGTCTACTCTGTCCCTTTAAATCTCCTGTTTGCTACAATGTACGGATCAGAGATTGCATTCTGGTTCTTCCTTTTACTGTTATCCCGTCCTGCTTGTCTCTGTACCTGTAATTTAACTTTATAATTATCTAACTCTATATCCAACTTCAACTGTTCTAAGTCTCATATTTCTAAATTGCTATGTATCTTTAAATGATGGTAAACATTTAAAGTCATAAAGGTCTAATTTAACTATATTTACAATATAAGCTAAGTCTATACAACTTAAATTTAATTCATGTATCTTTAAATGATGAAAGTTTAAAATCACAAAGGTCTATTTCAAATTAACAAAATATTTATACCACTCATCTATCCTGTAAGCCGTTTACAAAGGTACAACTTTTATTACAAAAGGGGATTTTTCTCTAACTAAAGGCAAACTTTAGACTGCTGAGATACTAAACAGACAGACAGCCCTCAAATGCTCAGAGATCTAGAGAATATGGCATTTAAAATGTTTTGTTAAAAAGCTTTTTCTAACAGAGATAGGCCAGCTGCTGGCTCCACCCCATTTCCTCCAAGACTGATGGGCACTGAAGAAACTTCATCTCAAGTCAGTGACAACGCTGGTCACTGAGCAACCCTGCCCTTCACCTCAACTGCTACAAAGTACTACAGACAATGAACAAGAGGACAATGGAATTGACTTTCCCTGCGTTGCTTGAGCCAACGGTAGGTGAGCCTTCCTGTAGTCCGTAATCCACAGGTCACATGCTATCAGCAAGAAGGCAGGTGTCCTGCAGCCCAATACTATGGATGGAGGACCTTGGGGATGGCTGTCCATGCAGCCTGCTGGCAAGTCTCTTTTATTCCAGCTTAAAGCAAAACAGATTTCAGGAACAGGTATTTTAGGGTTTATCTAGGAAAGTGTAAAATGTATGAAAGTCTGGGAATGTAGTTACAAAGGTCTGAGGATGGAAAGGTCTAACACGGTGGATAAATGCAAGTTATGGAGGTCTGAGAATGGAAGGTATAAGGGTCTGAAAATGGAAGGTCTAAGATGGTAATGTAAGGTCTATGAATTAAAGTTATGAAGGTCTGAGGATAAAAAGACTTAAGTGATGATAAAGTGAGTTGAGACATTAAAAAGAATGAAATATGTTCCTGATTTCTCTATTTCTCATGCTACTGTTCATAGCAAAGTTCTACAATACCACTATAGGATCATAACTACAAGGTCAAGACTAAGATGCTTTTCATTGTCAAAAAAAAAAAAAAAAACCTGTCAATTTTAAAATGTTAATGCTTTCAGCCAAGTTGCTTCTAACAAGAATATGCTGCTAATGTGTCTAATACTTATGTTTCCACAAACTATAAGGATTCTTGTAAGTTCCAGGGAGCTGAATTGAATCCAAACAAACAGGTCAAAGAGGCGCCAGGGAGTTCCATACAGCCTGGACTGTAATGAAACAACCAGCTACCCCCAGGACGTAGCAGCACCCCAACCTTCTCAGGTCCCCCAAAGATGGCCAACGCCCTCGTCAGCAGGAAGCAGTCTTGAGAATTCGACGCCCTTATTCATTAATGTGCCATGTCTAACACCTCACCTTTTAAAATAATGAGTAGAGGTGGGAATGAAAGGTTCAGGCTTTATGCTGATCGGCTCTACCTCTTTAAGAGACAGACCCTACCCCCTGACAACAGGGCACACACAGAAGAACTGCCGTCATCACCACGTCACCACGTCACCCGCCACGCATTATGGCCTGCGTGAGGACTCTGGGCATGCGTGGAATCTCAGTGCGCATGCCCAGTCTTCCCTTTAAAAGTTCCAACTTCCCTGTTTCGCTCTCTCTCTGCTGCTTCTTCTTCACTCTGTTTGCTTCTGCTTCTCTTCTCTCTCTATGGCGACCAGCCACGGCGGGCAGCCATTACCCCTGTTCCTCTTCTCTCTTAGTCTCCCTACTCTTTCGGGCTTAATAATAAACTGGTTAACATGTCTCATCTGCCTCTTCTTCTTTATCTTTAATTTAAACAAAAACATAACACCCACAACAGTACATCCTCAAGAAACACAAAAGTAAAAAACAAAGTACAAATTTTATTTTGTTTCTTTACAAAGGCACAATGGCCTCTTGGTATTTTGTTCCCTACCCCCACTTTCTTAACAAAATATAATAGCTTCTCCCTGGACACAAAGACCTCAAAAAAAAAAAAAAAAAAAAAAAAAAAAAAAAAAAAGGAAAAAAGAAAAATCGTAAAAAAATACAGAAACCAAAACCAAAATAAAACCAACAACGAACAAAACAAAAAGAGAGACAAAGACATTTTTGGGGTCGATGATGGGAACCCCAGAGGGAAAGGTGAAGTGGAGAGTGTGGCCAATTCCGGTGCTGAGGTGGGGAGGGAGGGGAGAGGGAGAATGGCAGCAGCAAACCCCAACCGAGAAACAACAAACCGAAACAACTCCCAGGTCCCCAGAAAGCCCCAACCCAGCCTGACCCCCAACCCATGTAAGTGCTTAAAAGAGAAAAACAGAAAACCAAATAGAGGAGGGAAGGGGGGCTGAAGACTGGCGGTCTCGGACTGGCTCTGGGGAGGGAGGAAATACCTTGGGGTTTTGTTTGATTTTCCCTGTTCTTAAAAACACGTTTAAATGGAAGGAAAACAAACAAACAAACAAAAAAAGCTTTTTGGCGGAGAGAGGCCCGGCACCTCAGTGTCAGCGTCCCCGGCCCCAGGGCCGAGGCCCAGCCCTGGAGTCCCAATGCTCCCACACGTGCTATGCCACCCCAACCCCGGGACCTGGGCTTGGGTGGCTTCGATCAAAGGTCGACTTACAGTATTGAAAAAGAGGTCATAAAAGAGACCCAAATGACATCATAATTTTGTAAAAATTTCTCACTCATTCACCCATGTTTCTCCCTGTTGTTACCCCGGCCCCCTCTGACCCCCAGAGGGAGAGGAGGGCTGAGGGGTGGTCAGGGAAGCTCTCCGTCCCCTAAAGGTTCCTCCCGGCTCTGGTCCATGGCGTCGCTGTCCGAGGCCTCGGAGTCTGAGGCGGTATCGGAGGTGGGTGCCTCTGGGCAGCTGCGGACAGACTTCACAATAACCGCTCGTCTCTGTTCCTCCTCCAGCTCCTGCTTGTCCCGGGTGCCCTCAATGTGCTGGATTGCCTGGACAGAAAGGGACAATCAATTAGGAGACTCGGCTGGGGAGACCAGGCCAGCCAGCTGCTGTCTGCCCCCAAAACACATACCCCAGAACTCTTCAAAGCAGGTAGGGGATTGAAGGGCTTGGCTTCCAGAAAACCATAGCCCTAGATGTTAGAAATGACAAGCACAGGGACTGGAGTGGTGGCTGAGTGGTTAAGAGCACTGGGTTCGATTCCCAACACCCACGTGGTGGCTCACAGTCTGTAACTCTGGTAACAGGAAACCTCACACCCTCTTCTGCCCTCTGAGGGCACTACAAATGCATGTACACATACATATATGCAAGCAAAACACTCATCCACATACGATAATAATAAAATGAAATCTTTAACAGCTCATGTTTATATATCTTGAAGTCCATTAACTCACTAAAGGTCTTTGCTATTGGCTCTAACTCAGTTGGCTGGGCATATATGCAATGAAAGTTCTAGGATCTGATGGTCTATTCTTTTTTTCTCTGGTTCTGTTTTTCAGGTTGTTTTACTATTTATCAAATAGAGTATTTTTGTTCACAGTA